ACAAAGCTGTACAAGAACTTGCAGAATATGATGGATATATTACCACAATCCTGCATTATTTATTTACTTATTATTCAATTTGTCTATGCCACAATCTCATATTTGTATTGTATTATTGGTGTGCTAATTTTGTTATTTTAGTTTAACAATTTTGCATTAAAAATCTGATGCCTTCAAGAGTTATCATTATTTTTATACGTGAAATCAGTGATATTTATTTCTGAAGAAGTATATGCACAATGGTACATAGCATTGTGCCATAAAACATTTGTTAGATTGTTTAACTTTATGGAGATCCTTGTAGAATGCCTATTTAATTTATTTAAATTTTGTAACAGAAATATTATTGTAAGATTTGGTGAAATTGTATTATAACTATAGAGCTGATATGTAGATAGAATAATATAACAAATTATAATTGTATTTTCAGATATTAACACTAATATGTCTACCTTGTTCAATAGAGATATTTTTTATGAATTGCTGCGTGAATGGGAAGATAACTTTGAAAAAACAGGTTGGGATTTTGAGAAATGTCTAGGAGATAGGATCAGGTAAGAGCTTTTAATGCAACAATTGAATCAGGGTAATTTACAAAAATAGTGACAAAGATAATTAGAAAAGAGTCCTTGTACCTCTTTGTAGCCCAGTAGATGATAACTAGTGATTATTTTGGAAAGCACTGGAGAATATCTGATCTAATAATATCTCAATACCAAGATTTGCAAGAAATCCCTAGGTATGTAACAAATTTATATGGTTTGAAATTGTAACATCAGAACTTGTAAGAAACAAAGAATTACCCATATTTTTGATAATGACAACAAATGAAATGTAGTCATGTATTAATAATTTGTTAAAGGAGAGATTTAAAAAATGCCTCCAAAGAAATCCTGGAACCCAAAGAGAACCAATAGCAGGAATCTATTTCAAAAACAATATAGTAAATACTCCCTAATTAAAAGGGATTGTACTGGCACATGGACACTACTATAATTCAGTCATGGTTAATACAAAAAAAAAAATGGCTCTTTCTCTTTTTGTTACTTTGGATAGAGTGTAAATATGAAAATACATTTGGAAAAGTTGTAGCAGGCTTATCAAGTCCCTCTCCTCCCCCCCAAAAGTACATTGCAGTGCTTCAGTTTTCAAAAAATAACTGTCATGCACTGAGAAAGAGTGACTGATGTAAGGCCACCAAATGAGGTTCCAGGATAGGGTAGATTGGGGAGGTAGGGGGATCCGGAACCGGTGTTTCATACTTTCAAATTACTCAAGTTATTTAAAGATGTGTTATTTTCTTAGTACCTGTAGGAATTCTAAAATAGTAACTCCTGATTCAATTATAATAGCAGTCACTTGTTTCTTGTTCTGTAGAGTTATGATGGCACATCTTTCAGCAGCTTGTAATTATATTCACTTTGCCCGGCTCTTTCAGAAACAGCTTCTTCAGGTAGGTTTGTGGTTGCATTTTTAAAAAATAAATAAAGATGTTTTGTTTTGTAATAGCAAGATAATTTATGACAACTAAACTTGTGGAGTCCTTAGTACGCTCTGAGCAAAATATTGTTCTTCTGTTTCAAAGATGTGTAAAGGATCAGTTGGTGGAGGCACAAGTTGGGGAGATACTCCAGACCAGGATGTCCTCAACATGTTAGGTCCAGATAATCTGAACCGACTGAAGAGGCTTCAAGAGAGATTTCTTGTTCCTCAGAGCATCAGAGGACCCTGTCCTCCTCCTTCTTTCCCAGGATGCCAAGAGTTTTTCAGGGACTTCATCCTCAGTGCAGGGAGGTGAGCTGTTTTTGCCACTCGCTTAAGCTGCGTAAAGGCATTTAATAGTTTTGCATTTGGTTCTGACAAGTTTCTTAAGTGTGCAACACACAGTGCCTTGGAGGAATCTCTAAAGGAAATTCGTGCATAAACTGTTCTGATGTTCCCGTTTCTTAACCACTGATTTTTGTTAAGTATAAAAAAATACTCTGGGCTGGCACCATTTTTTTAAACTTATTGTCAGATGCCCAGAGTTGCAGAAGTGAGAAAAGCAGCCTTATAAGTTGTTTAAAATCGTTCAAAGTTACAACGGCACTGAAAAAAAGTGACTTATGACCATTTTTCACACTTGTGACTGTTACATCATCCCCATGATCACCTGATTTATATTCGGATACCTAACAGCTGGTTTATATTTCTGATGATTGCAGTGTCCCAGGTCATACAATCACCTTTTGACAAGCAAGCCAAATTCACTTAACAACCATGTTACTAATTTAACAATTACAGTGATTCACTTAACAAATATGGCAAGAAAAGTCGTGAAATGAGGCAAAATTCACTTAACAAATATCTCACTTAGCAACATAAATTCTGGACTCAATTTTGGTCGTAAGTCAAGGACTACCTCTATATGCATACATTCAAATCTCATTCCCATTTTGATTTGTTTTTTTGAAAGCTACCGATTTAATCAACACCTGGTAGACAGTTTGTGCCTGCAAATACTTGAGCTGGACAGCTTTGCCTTGGTGGAACATGAACCCAGTGATGGAGAAGCCACGAGCGAACAGGTAGATCTCATCACTATGTAATAACCATTCTATTCTCAACAAATACCTTTGTTGAGTCAGTTCATTGTTTGGCTGTTTGAATAGAGTGCCTGCCATTCTTGTTAAAATAAATAGAATAATGAGTATAAGGATCACTGGGATGCCTCAGAATGCCTTGTTTTAATAGAAATAGACTATGATATTTAGCCCTTTTCTTTGCAAATGCAAGTGGATTTCTTTGAGTGGAAAAGGAAAGCCAAATGTAGGCTTTAATTCAATAGACATAAGCTGTACATATTTCTGTTGTAAAGGGAGAGTTTTACAAATTCCCAAAACATACCTGCTTCCTTTTGGGTATTGCTTTTTTTCCCATTCCCACTAGTAGTATTTATTCATGAAAAAAATAATGTTATATTGTCAGATTTGATTTGATGTCATCACTGCTTCTAATAGGTAGAAGACAGAAAAGAAGGGTTTTTTTCCCCAAGGTAACAGTTGGTTTTCTTCAAGAAGACTGCAACTGCCTTGTTTTCTTGAAAGCCTCTGACAATGAGTGCAAAGAACGATCATCTGAATCCAATAGATTTTTAAAACTGAAATAATTAGATGTCACATACTTGCTTTGACTTATATAGTATGAAGGGTTCTCTTGATTTTCAACAAAAAATCATTTTCAGTTGTTGCATCACATATTCAGTTATAGTGTTGTGGCAGAGCTGTTACATGAGAAAGACCCTTATTTGAATCTTGCTTTTGAAATTTTATTAGGTCAGCCTTAACCAGGCCACATTCTCTCTGTCTCAATTCCCCATCTCCAAGCAGAAGATATGTTGTGTGGAACCCTTAAAATAACTGTGGCATTTTTGGTGTTAAGTTACTATCCTCTGCTGGATGACAATTGTAAGAAGTTTCATTAGTTTTTCATTTCAGGATGAAAAGAAGCATTTTGCCAGCGTTCTTATGAGCCTTCGACTCCTGGCTAAATTTGTGGGATTCCTTGTCTTTCTGCCGTATCGCACATCAGAACCAGCGACTGGAGATCTCTTGGAGTCAGCAATCGCATTAAGGAATCACGTAGGCCATCATCTGTATCTATGTACAGGAAGCACATTATAAGACAGGGAGATTTTTTTCCCCCAGTTCTCCTACCTGCTAGCCAATTGATATACATAATTGGATTGTTTCCAGATAACTCAGTTAACTAGCCTTTTATGATATTAATACACTTTGGTTTGTTACTATAGATTAAGGCCAGAATCTATGAACTCTGATAGTATAGGAGATGAACAGGTTGTTCCTAAGGGGAGACTCAAATGCATCATCAGTTTAGAGTCGCTACGCTCCCACAAGAGACACAGGTCCTGCCCATATCTAGCGCCAATTTGGTTTGACTATTAATTAGTATGTCAGATTCTTGTGTATAAGTAGCATATAATAAACTTTTTAGAGCTTTGAACTCAACTTCTGTTCCTGATTATTTGTGCCTGACAGTATTGTCACGTAACATAGATGTATTAGTTTGGCAGAGTGGAAAATGAAAAGTATGTATTTATTAGTAAATACACCATGTCAAAAACGAGCATGTCTTCAAAATAGCTTTTATTTAATAAGTTAACCTAGATCTGGAGATACCTTCAAGCAGCAAACCAAGAATTAATACAAACACAATGACAATTATATCCTATAGCATAATTAGGTCACCTGATGCCCTTCAAATGTTTAGGACTTCTTCAAATTATTTTGAAAATTTTGGTAGTTCTTTAATATGGTAAATTGCCTATTTAAAAGGATTGGGTAGCACTCCATCCCCCCAAAAATCAAAATCTCATCACTTGTTGATACTTTGTGGTATAATAAAACTAAACTGGAATAGTTGGCTTCTGGTTTATGGATAATATTTTCCCAATAGGGTATTTTTTTCTCTTTCTAGGGCCATCCTGTGCTGGATATTTTCAAGTTGTTGAGACAGTCCATTCAGAAACAATGTATGGTCCTGACTGTTCCATGGGTGGTTGAATTTCTTTCTCTCATGGATTACATTGCTCCATTTCTTAATTACTATGAAAAAACATTTGCTCTGCTCTTGCAACTGTACAGGTAAAAGCATTATAAAACAACACTGATGAGATTTGCTGCAAGGAAATAAATTTTTGAAACACAATTGGTGGTGTCCTGGTAAAACTTTCGTTATGACTGACAAAACGGCAACTTTATTCACTAAGTAGCTTAAAGCTTTAATTAACAACAGTTTTCTCAGTTTGGTATCTTTCAGACCAGGCTCAGTCAGTAGTACTGACTGAAATTTATGGTTAGTGTAGTAAAATATGGTAGAAGAAAGAATTGGGGATGCTATTATACTCTGCAAGCTTTGCAGCACTAAAATAATTTGCAATAGTCAGTGTAGCATAATATCTTCCATTTGTAATCATTTCTCCAACCAGAAATGTTAGTCCTTTTGTGAATGTATAGAACTCTTCCATAATGTACAATCTCCAGATAGATAACTTTTAAAATCTAGTTGTTATTTAATGCTGATGATTTTATGCCCTAATGTTGTAAGATATAAGAAAAATGTATTTATTTAAAGAATAAAGGCAGAGGAGAAAGAGGTCAATTTAATACAATTGAGGTTTTTTCTCCCTTCTCATTCTTTTATAGGTATCTGCTACTTTCTGAAGATAAAAAAATGTGCTTCCTGAATAAGCTACTGATCCTTGCAGTTTTAGGATGGCTTTTTCAAGTATGCTACTGGGTTTTTTTTAGAATTTTTTAGAAATGAGAGGCCTTTTCTAGCATTTCCATGTATTTTTAAAACATAAAATAGAAATACTAGTATGAGTCTATGCACCTTTCCTCCATGGAAAATTAACTGTTCAGGATTTGCCTTCCAGGTGCCGACTGTCCCAGAAAACTTGTTCTTTGCTGGTGAAGTGAGATTGGACGAATTGTCTTTGGAATCTGTAACCACATCTCAGGCTCTGGTAAGTTTGTGTATGTAACCACCTGGGCAACGTGTATATGTCCAGCAAATAAACACTGGCTAATTGGCTAATGCATCTGTTTGCATCATTTATCACATAGCAGCGATCTGCAGATTAAATATATTCTATGGGTTTTTATATATCATTGGAAAGTTAATCTATTATTTCTTTTTTTTCTATTTCTTAGGATTCTGTGCCTTTGGTTGATCAACAGTTGCTTTATACCTGTTGTCCTCACCTTGGTGAGTCTTTTATTTCAGATTATCTTCGGTGGGAAAAACAAGATTTGAGAAATTTTTCTCTTTTGGGGATTGCAAATAATCCTAATGGAGAAGGTTTAATTGCCTGACTAGAAATTATTACTTTCTGAAGCTATACGGAATATTATGTTATGTTACGTTACATTTCATTATATTGTACTATAATATATTGTATTATTAGATTATATTATAGTACATTCTTGCTTAATATTCACACTGTGCTATAAGATTGAATGTAATTACTATTCTAACCTTAACTTGTGACTGATTACATTTTAAATACTTTGAAGGGTAAGAATGAATAACTGTGTTTATGTATATTACATCATGTTTGTGTACTTTAAATACTTTCTGACTTGGAAACTCTTAAAGAACTGTTTTGAAGCAAGTAGTTGAAGTTAGTTATTTATGTGTATTGTATTTATTTATAAAATTTATTGGCCACCCATCTTACCACAGAGTAACCCTGGGCAGTATTTTTCATATTTTATATTATGTATTTTATATTATATTATGTATTTTATATTATTTATATTATGCATATTTATATTATGCATAAAGTTGGATATGCAAATAGTGAACTTTCATCTAATTGCATTCAGAACCAAGTAATAATGCTACTTCTTAGATGATAAATCCAAAAACGTAATGTTGAGCAGCATTGACCTTCCTTTAGAATTGTCCTGTGGGATTTTTGTGACTACCTCTTTCTCCAGATGAAAAATCTATGTGATGTTACCCTGAGGTTATGTTTTATACCACCACCGTTCATTTTATGCTTCAAGTATAACACGTAGTATTCCTTTGCCATAGGGGAATTGAGGAAATTACTGTCTTCTTTTGTGTTGGGAAGTGGAGGAAAAAATGGTGGCTATATAAGAAAAATAACCCCAACTGCTACAGAGGCCTTAGCTCCAAAGCCTTCCCTCGCTCAGCAAAAACTTCAGGTAAGGGATATCCTATGCAAGTTGCACAATCCACCTTTATAGCAATAATAAGGATTGCAGCAAAATCACTATGCATTTGACAGAGGATACTTTAATGCAGCGATCAGGAGTCTGCCATGTTCCTTTCCGGTCATGTGACCCTGAGCAGAGCTGTCTTTAAGAGATTGGAATAAAATTCCAGAAGCCATACTTTGCTTTCCCAGCCTTATTGATGTGCCACAGAAATTCTAAGCTGTATTATACCGTGTTTCTCAGAAAATAAGGCCCGGCCTTGTTTTCTTTTGACCCCCGAAAAAATGGCTAGGCCGTCTTTTCGGGGGTGACTTAATTTCTCTCCCCCCACGCACCCTTGGCTAGAGCGCCCCGCGGGCAGCCATGCCTCACCACCAGCTGTTCCTAACAGCTGATCATGGCGGAGCTTGGAGAGCTCCCTACCCCCGCCAAGCTCCTTTGCTGCAGACTCGGGTATGGTGCTGGGTACAGGCCAGGTCAGCGGCCGGGCATCGGTGTGGATGTCGGCCTCGGTGGTGGTGGGGCACTTTGCAGCGCGCCCACCACTGTTGCTTCCTCCGCCGCTGTTGCTTTCCCTTCTGCCCGTGCGCTGCCGCGTATGGAGTGCTGTGCATTCCTCCACCGGCAGCGTTTCAGCCGCTTCTTGGGCGGGGAAGCCGTAGCCAACAACAGCAGCAACGGTGAGACAGACCCCGCTGCCGACAAGAATCGCCTGCCCTCCTGCAGGGGCATTGCTTTGATTGACGACAGCTGTGTCAACAAGTTCCTGCAAGTTAGTGAGTCTTTCAGAGTTGGGTGGATGGAAGCAGCGGCGGGAGGGTGATGCGATAATTTCTCTTCCTCCCCCCACGCCTCTCTTTGCTTCCCGCCCCAGAGCTTCGAGTCATGGTCTCATCCCTTGTACGGTCGGGTGCTCTCCTCTTGCTCCAGCCGCCTGAAACCCCCCTGTGTACCTTTCCCCCCCATTTAAGTTTTCTTTACTCTCATTCCCTCCGTCAGTTCCCTAAGAATACAGACTGGCCGGGCAGCTTCCTCCCCACCCCTCCCGGTAGTTTTAAAAAGGGAACCATCTATCCACTTTGCCCTTTGAGCAGAGGCAAACCTTCCAATCCAAACAGAAGAGAAAGGGAATCATCCTACAGACCCTTAGCACCAAGCTTCCCAGAGGATTCTCCCAGAGGATCCACCCCGAAGGAGGATTCACCCCCTTAAATGCACTCCCCTCCTTTGGGGTGGATCCTCTGATGAATCCTCCTGTGGGGTGGATCCTCTGGGAAGCTTGGGTAGTGACTGATTTTTCTTTATCCCACATTCTTTCCAGGATAAAATTGTCAATGTTATCGTTTGAATTTTTGAAAGCCTTCATATGTGTGTTTTAAATATGCTGCTTTCTGAACAAGACATTAACCAATTTCTTTCTGTAATCCATGGCTGGCTGAAACCATTCCTGTCATGAGAGTTTCCAAATTTTTCAGGCCATGGGCATCAACACGAGTTGTCTGCAGAGATGAGTCATAATGTGATTCCTTGGTATGTAGGAACATGTATACAGGTAGTCCTCGACTTACAACAGTTCATTTAATGATTGCTCAGCAGTACTGAAGAATGTGACATGACCAGTTTTTACACTTATGACCATTGCAACATCCCCATGGTCATGTGATCAAAATTCTGATGCTTGGCAATTGGCTCATATTTGTGACGGTTGCAGTGTCCTGGGGTCACATGATCATCTTTTGTGACCTGACAAGCAGCGTTAATGAAGCAAGATTCAGTCAACAACCATATTAATTCACTTAACAACTGTGGCAAGAAAAGTCATAAAATGGGGAAAAAACTCACTTAGCAATTGTTTTGCTTAGGAACAGAAATTTTGGGCTCAATTGTGGTCATAAGTCAAGGACTACCTCTACATGTGTGCATTTTCCAAGATTCACTCTCCCTAATATCACCATCCTTTCCCCCATTCAACTCTGGCCTTTATTATGGGTATTTAAGGGCATAATTTATTCATAGTGTTGCATTCTCATCTCTGCATTAATGGAAGAATGTAGACATTGCTTAAGAATATTTGTAAAGACATTCTAACATGCAAACAGCACCTCCGTTTTTTTCATTCAATGAATTCAATCTACAGCTTCAAATATAATGGATGCTATACCTTTATGGGGTTTTTTTCCGGTCCTCTGTAGCAATTGGTCAGCTCTTTCTTTTCATCCTATGAAGAAAGCTTGAGGTTTCTCGATATAGTAGTGTATCGTGAATTTATTTCCTATAGTTGCATTATGACTCTACGCAGATTTATTTCAATGGACTGGTTTTTTTAAATAAAAAAGGTAGTTAATTCTAGTTGACATAAAGAAGAGAAGATATAAGCAATCAAGTGAAGAGCATTTGAATGTGGTCGTGCCAGTAGGAAAAATTATAGTCTTGAAAAATTATGTCTTGGCTCTTTTGCAGAGAGGGCAGTGATATTTTCTTTTTGTTTGTCATTCTTTCATTCCTCTTTAAAAAAGAGAGAGAGAGAATATTAAGATTAAAAAAGGAACAAGCAAGAGTATTTCTCTTCGGAGAATAGGTAGGTTGGGGTATTCTAATTTCTCGAGGATTCTTGCTTTTCTTTTAATAGGCAGATCTGCAACAAGCCTTCTTTCACAATCAGTCCCCATCTCTACGGAGAACGGTAGAATTTGTGGCAGAAAGAATTGGATCAAACTGTGTCAAGCACATCAAGTAAGAACAGGATTTTTTTTTTTAATTAGAAATTCCAGACATCTTAATCTGTTTTTTTTTTTATTGCTTCTGATTATTTCTGAGAAGCTTTCGTTTTTTTTTATTTAGTACTTTTGTGAACTACCTTGAGAAATAAATGGCTGTTTCTTTCCACTCCTTCATGTTTCAAACCTTGATTCTTGTAGGGCAACCCTGGTAGCAGAGCTGGTGAAAAGAGCTGAAGTCATTTTGCAGGATGCTATGAAGGCAGAAGATGGCAATCACGACAAATTATTGGATGCAGTATGTTCACAATTGTATCAAGAAGGAGCACAAGCTCTTATCCAAGGCAAAGAGTAAGGAGGCACATTATTAGATAACAAATTGTTTTTGATGTCTATTTATCCTTTAAAATGTAGAATGTTTTAAGGAGCTTTTTTCAGCAGTATGAAACAATTTGATGTTTCTGAATATAGATCAGAGAATTTAACAGCATCAGTAATTAAAATTCCTTATCATTTGCCCTATGGCAGGAGTTGCTATTATGACATTTATTTGCAAATAAAATGTGCTTTGCAAAATTCATTTAGGTAGACAGATCTGTCTCCATTGTACTGTGCATATTTATTTATGCTCATTATTTTTTTTGTATGGTGTCACTATAAAAGGAGTGGGTGACCTGTGGGTTCTTGATGCTCAGTTGCATCCATTGCAATCTGTATCTCAGTTACAGAGGTAAACCTCAGTCAGCAGCAGTGCTGCTGCTGCTGACTTTTGGTCCAAGGATTGTTTTCAACATTGCCCTTTGAAGCATTATTTCTCATTAGGGCTATATAGAGGTACATCAAAATAGGTACTTTGCTTAATTTTATGACCCCAGCAAAAGGAATCATCCTTGAAGCATTCAAAGAGTTGTTTCAGTTTGAAGATTCATGCAATTGCTTCAAAAGACAGCGATCCGGAACCTCTAGCTAAGCAAAGGAGTTGTTCGGGTACACACAATAGATAGCTGGAAACAGCTTTCATAGCTTCTTTATAGGTTTTCCAAAATATGTTGCTGCTTTAGTGCTTCAAGGAATGGTACTTCGCTTGTGCTGACCTACAGTTATGAATTACATCTTTGAATGTTTTATGAAATCCTAATTTTAACATTACTTAATTCTGATTTTAGCTCTGATTTTGCAGAATTAAAATGATGCTTTTTATCCCTGTTTGTCCTTTTTTTTTGATGTTGAAAGTTCAGCATATTGTTCAACGTGCAGCTCTTTACTCTTGAAAAGTTAACATACCTAGGTAACTGTTTATTAAGACATTTCTACATATATATATTTCTAGATTTTGTAGGAAGAAGGCCCCTGAGGCTGTGAAAATCCTGCTGCCAGAAGAGACCTCTGCAGCTGTAAGTATTTTGGACACGTTCAGGGTTTTTTCTTTTTTTTTTTAACTATTAAAATGCTCCACAGTTGCATTTTTATTGTTGCCTAGATCACTTTAGATCATGTAGCTGAAGTTTGAAGACAAATTAAAATCCCTGGAGTGCTTAATACATTTAAATTACATATTAGCTGCACAGAATAATGAATTTGGATCCTTTGGTTAAAACCATTGGGCAAATAAAATACAAAGTTTTTAAAATCACAATACTCTTCAATCAGTTGTGATAAGGCAGATGTATCATTCCCTATTTTCCTGTATTTTTGTAGGTAGAAAATTAAATGGTTTGGTTGTCATAATTCAAAAGGCCAATTTCTATGGAACACATTTTTAACAACAGTTGAAGAAGCCAAAACAAGCCCTCATTTATCATCTACACTGATGGTACTTGTTTCCACACAAGTATGCCAAGAGCCGGAAGACCGAGGGAAGCCTTTTGGGTCCTTCAGATTGGCATAGGCACCCATAGCCAGTTACCATCTTTGCTAGTTAGAGAGTGAGAAGCTGAAATCAGTTTTTCAATTTTTTTGTCTGGTTCAGTTTTTCTTTTGGTTTAATCTGTTTGTAGTAGCTTGTACTGTTTCATTGAATTGCTCTGTCCCCTTCCATCACACAAGTGGGAATTTTCAGGAGGCCTCTAGAAGTAACAATATGTCATTGTTCTTCTCATGCCCAAGGTTTTGAACTGTGCAGCAAATATTGCAGTGGGACTGGCTATCGAGAAGGCCTGCAGTTGGCTTTCTACAAATATTGCAGGTATTCACTTTTTCACTTTGACTTCTATTTAGTGTGAATCCCTAGTAATCAAGGCTAATGTGATTATCTAGCATGGACTGAGACATTTAAACTCTTGCTGTCACATGGTGCACTTTTATTTATGAAAGAATGTCTGTGTCACATTATTTCCATGTAAAAATAATTAAAAACTTGACAAAATAGGAATAGCTTGATTGCCTGCCTATAAAGTGGATGGATCTAGTAGAACCTTGTCTCTTGTTACCACTTTTATTTTAAGAATAAAAATACAGCAAGTTCCTTCTTGTTCCTAGTTGTTTGTTTGTGGGAATTAACTGAGCTCAGGCCAGTTCAGGCTGCTTTAGTTATTATCAATAAAGAGTTTGGAATTAAAACACCATATACCCTCCTACCCCAAACTGTTCATCCATTATTGTGGCTCAGCCTTTCCATGACATTTACCCATAAAGGGTAAAACTTCTTAACTTTCAGATATTCTCTTCTGAGGGCAAAGCCACCAATTTTACTTTTACCGGTTGGAGTTTTTTTAGCAATTTGTGAAATATACCCATGTTATTCTTCCTTTTCAACTAACATTAAGGAAGCTGTAGATTCCAGAATTGATTCAGTCTGAATGCAGAAATGGATAGGTTGTTGACAGAATAGCTATATTTTTATTTGTTTGTTTGTTTGTTTCTTACAGCCCTGATCAAGAGAGAAGTGAAAGCTACCTTCAGTCGCATGCTAAAAGTTCAGATGCTTTCTCAGTCCAGTGCCAATGAAATTATATTAAAGAAGGACTGCCCTCCAGACTGCCACCATCAAACAGCATTCCCTTCCCAGATAATCAGTGAAATGAAGGTTTGTCTCTGCTATTTTCTGCCCTTTGTCAGTAATTTGTGCAAAGTAAGGTCACTGTCCATTGTCTAACCACAGCCTCGGTAGCGCAGTTGTTAGAGTACAGTACTGCAAACTACTTCTGCTGACAGCCAGCTGTCTGCAATTTGGTAGATTGAATCCCACCAGGCTCAAGGTTGACTCAGCCTTCCATCCTTCCAAGGTTGGTAAAATGAGGATCCAGATTGTTGGGGACAATAGGCTGACTCTGTAAACCGCTTAGAGAGGGCTGTAAAAGCACTATAAAGTGGTATGTAAGTCTAAGTGCTATTGCTATTATACTGTATAGAACAGGTCACCCTTCCAGAATTTCTGTAGGTAGAAATTGTGTAGCATTATTTGTTTGTTTGGAGGTGGCAGTAGTCTAAAGATGGGCTGAGAGTTGTGATTCTTGTCCATTGCGAAAAGCCGTGTTTTCAATAAGTTGAGATCCTAGAATACTTATATGCATCCTGAATCACAAATGCTTCTGTTATTCTAGGATCTGCTCTGTATTGCTATAGGCCCAAGAGAAGAAAATGAAGAAGTCCAGTTTGCTGACTTGGAAAGCTTGTTGGGAAGGGTGAGCCAAACACTTCAGTGTAGAAAGGTAGCTTCATTTTTTAATTCAGCTTAAGTTGTATTGTTGTTTCTGATTTTGTATCTTTTTCTCTAAGGAAAAATTCTTGTTGGGATATTTCATAGAACAGGGTCCCCAATCACCGGGCCACGGACCAGTAGTGGCCCATGGCCTGTTAGAAACCAGGCCGCACAGCTGGAGGTGAATGGCAGGTGAGGAAGTAAAACCAAAACCACCACCATCACCCCTGGTCCAGTGAGAAATTCTGTGCCACAAAACCGGTCCCTGGTGCCAAAGGGGTTGGGGGCCACTCTCATAGAAAATGTATATATATATATTTATATAGGTGTGGAAATAAACTATGCAAATCATTACTAGAAGATATAGTGCCATCACTAATTTTGTGGTTTTTAAAGAGAATTAGGTAATTTTGTGGAAGTTTGGGTTTATCAAGAACTGTTAGTGGAATCCCTGTATTTACTTGGGGTTAGCTTCCCTCCTAATGTGAGCTTCAGGGGAGCAATAGCAGGAGAAAGCTATATATAATAAGGGAGATATTGATAAACTGCAGCAAGTCCAGAGAAGGCCAACCAAGATGACAGGAGACATTTGAAGACACTTACACCCCTCTCAGCCTGTCACACTAAAGAGGGTTCAAACTCAATCTCTCTTGCTCCAGAAGACAAGAGCAAAATGAGTGGGATGAAACTTCAAGCGTGTAGATACAGATTAGACATTAGGAAAAGCATTTCACAGTATGAATCAATGGGTTATTGTATGGAGTGGTTTCTTCCCCTTTACTGAAGGTTTTCAAACAGGCTGGATAGTCATCTATCGGGGATGGTATGATGAACCCTATGACATGCAGGGGATTGGATTTGATGATCTCCTATATCCCTTTCAACTAAGGTTCTGTGATCTGCCTGCTGTTTGTGAACACCTCCCAGGTTTCTGCTCACCCCTGAGAAAAAATGCTGGAATAAGATCATCCTTAGTTTGATCCAGCTGAACAATTTTTAGATTTTTATGAAATGTACGCTTCTTTTCTAAAATACATGCAAACATTTGACAATAAACTATCTGAAAGTAGGCTCAATTTGTATGCATTCTAAAGCACAGTCACAGTTTAAATATTTGTGCATGTATTAATTGTTGCAATACCTGATTATTCAGATACATAATTATTGCATGAATAGAAATATTTCATTTTTCTGTGTTTCAGTTCATCTGTCCAGCATCAGAGCAACAGCTGGCTAAGTGCACCATTGAGCTGGCATCACTGCTAGGTTAGAATTCTAACGTTTTCCTTTTTATAAGTATTCCTTTTTTTCTTAATCATTCATTCTTCAGCCATATATAAAATTCCCTTTGTATGACCCTGTAATCATATGGAGCCATATGTAACCTGAATTAATTGTACTGAACCTGACTTCAGAATTTATGGACTAGTATATAAAACAAAGTGCTTGGATTACCAAGTTTCAAAATTATATTAATAAATATAAACCTTTTGGGTTAGCCTAACAAAATGACAAAAAAAAAAAGATTTTGAAATCACCTGAAATGTTCTATTTTCATTAAATTTGTTTTTAACTGGTGATGCTAACAGCCTGTTTTGCATCCATACTGATCTGGGCTGCTTTTTTCTACATAGAAGAAAACTGATCATTTTCAGCAGGTCAGGAATGCTTTGCAAGTTGACAGCTGGGCCATTCCAGCTCCGCAGTCCCAGTGCCACCTATTTTCCTGTTTAAAGAATGTTCAGTGGTTCTTATTGGATGTGAATGCTAAGAAGGCTCCCTGTTCTGCTGTGGAGTTTCTGGAAACCTTTTAAAGTAGCTTTAAACCAGCAGGACTGGAAAGGAGCCTCACAGTTAAGGCCAGTGTTTCCATTTTACTTGCTTATAGTTTCAGATCGTGTTCCAATTCAGGAGCTGAACTTTCCGTCTCCCAAAATGCCAGAGCAGCAGCAATCGAAATATCACCTCATCTCCAGTCTCCTGAAATCTCTGCTGTCTATCTGGAAAGATAATTTTCAGGCACCTGTACCATTGCACCTGATGTTCAGTCAAAAAAACATCACCTACCTTGCAGGCAGCAAAGATCATGAGGTGGGGTCATTTTTTTCTTAGTGGATATTTACCCTGTTTCCACTTTTCGGTTTGGAGCAAATGAGATTAAAAAACAATGCCATAAAACAAAAAGCACTCATACTATTCACCTCATTATTTCCTGGGATCAGAAATGGGTAAACTTCATTTCAGAGTAAGACTTTTGACTCTAAGGAATGCGATTTCTTTCATCTTTTTTCTGTTTCAAATTTCAAAGCTGCATATAGATGCATGCCCTCGCAGGAAAGAATTGTTGAATTGGTATGGAATTTATTTACAAAAAGTGTTATTAAAAATGCAAATATACATATTTTAAAAATCCAATAGTAGATTTTTAAGAATAGACTTAAGTATATCAGAAAGCAAAATATGAATTTAAGGGAAACGCCAGGTGTTAATGAAGGGAAATACTTGTGTCTCAGGATAATGTTGCAGGAGTCAGTCACCAGGACCAGAGGTTTATTCTTCAAGCTTTTGGACTCGTTCTGTGTCCATTCTAGAGAGGGAGAAGTTCCCTGAGGATGGGCTCTAGCACGAATCCAAAAGCTTGGAAGAATAAACCTCTGGTCCCAGTGACCGGCTCAGATTGGATCCTGCAACAAAGAAAGATGTTCAAGCGTCACTTCCAACTAACGCGAACAGATCTGAATTTGAGATATATGTATAATGTCTCAATTTCTGATGCATTTATAAACTAAACCATTCTACTCTGTTACTCTGCTACCTCACATACTTCCAGGTAATATTTCCCAACTGATTTTCAATAAACCAATATATTCCAGTTATTTCCACTAATTTCCACATAATAAAAGGAGCTGAAGGCTAGATTTCTGTAATGGATTATTGTAGATGAATTAGCCATCACTAAAAAGAAAGGCATTTGAGGCGGTATGAAATTTCTGCACATATGATTTCTTTAGCAGTAGCTCTTGCATTCCTGCTAGCAATGTGAACCAGTTGCATTTTCCCCCCAAGGAATTTGTTAATCCATTGCAAACAACTGTATGTCTCAGAGCACTATTCCGTGCAGTCTTTAGGTTTGCATGATAAGCATTGTGGGTAAGGCCTGTGATACTTGTTTGTTTTATTGCAGTGGGGCTTGTTTTTATTCATGCTTCATGGCCTCGTTGAGCATGGATTGATGACGAGTACAGAGATAGAGCATGGTTTGCATGACCTCCAGAAGCAGACGTGGCCTTTGGTAGGTTTAATTTGTAAACAATACCCAACATGTTGGTCTGGGGTACATTTTTCCTATATTTGTAATATTTCTGTATTCTGCACAAATATTTATGTTCTGAAGTACACTGTTGAAAATTCATGTTTAATGTTTCCTCAGTGTTTCTGAATAGGCTTTAGTTCATACTACCTTCCTTTTCACAGTGTCAGCCCTCCCTAAGGATGGTGAAGGAAAAGGTATGACAGCTTGAATGAAAAGGGAGAAAATGACAGCCCATTTGGAATGCTTCTAAGACCAATGTGATACAGAAAAGTAGTATAGTTTTTTTTAAAGTTTAATAAGGCTATATTTAATAACATTATCAAGATTTTTATCATTTTTGGCTCACTAGGTATTGGAGTTTGAGATCCTGGGATTGAGTGTTGCATCCTTGTAGAAGGGATGTGTCTGTCCTGCCTTAACGATGCTAGTGGGACTCTACTAATAAAAAAACAATTTGATCCGGAAGTAGTAGGAAATGATTGTTTGAATCACACTTATAATATTTCCGATCAAGAATGTGGTAGCTCTGAAACTCCAGAAGTGCATAATGTTGATTATCTGGGCTCACTTCAATTGGTAGTAAGAAACCAGGTTCTGAAATTGGACATTCTGGATAGAATTGCATTCTTTTTGAAAGAAGTTGTTTTCAGCCTAGGTGTGTTCCTTGATCTCCAGCTGTTGGTGAATTCCCAGGTGTCACTGATGACAAGAAGCACATTTACACAGTTATAATTAATGTATCAATTGTAATGATTTCTAAGCTGGCTGGATCTGACAGCTGATAGCTAAGTCTTGGCTACATCCAAGTAGATTGCTACAATATGTTCAATGATGAACAACCCTTTACATTTGTCCAAGTTTCAAATGGTGGCGGCTACAACTTTCAGGAGACAATTAGCCTTTTGTTAGAATGTATGTAGATGTACTATGTAGATAATTATCTACTATGTAGATAATAGCATCTAGATAAATTGCTTCCCAATTTGTTTAAACTGTTGGTTTTGACAGCCTGTTCTCCTGGCTGCTAGGCCATAGCTCAAGATGCACTTTGTCAGAACATTATGATTAGTAAGAGAAGACTAAAAAGCTGTGGGATCTAGATAAAACTAATTTCTGTGTTGCTCCAATATATGGAACACATTCGGAATTATTAGCAGCTCTGCCCCTTCTCCAGTTTTTCAGGAAAGCTGGCATCTTCAGGAAGCTTCAGTTTAACAGTTGTGCTATTATTTTATGTCGTTAGTGACCATAAATGTAGAAATAATTGTAAAACAGCAAAAACGGGCATATTTGTTGTTGAACCACTTGTACTAATGAGTAAAAAAATATCCCTGTCAGATATTGCTAACAGGTCTGGTTTTTTTCTTTTCTTTTTAGGACTTTTCCAAGGAATTAGAAGCTGTGTTAAGAATATTCATTTCCAAAACTCACACTACAGAGCCAAAGCCTTTTGCTTGTGATTTAGGATCGCAGCCAAGAGAAACGGTTGCAGCCCAAAGTTAGCAGAATTACCCATGTTTAAAAATTGTTGGGATTGCTTATAAATGCCCTGACAAAATTGCACTCAAAGTTAGTATGAATCTTATCCTCAAAGATGACGTCGTTCCAGTGCACCGTACTGAAGGACAAGGAAAAAGCCCATTCAAGCACCTTAATTAGAACTGCAGGAACAAAACTTTTTTTGTATAGAAATATGTGGCTTCCAAGTTCCAGAATCTTTACAGATGGGTGAAACACACTGTTTCTAACATGAAGGGGATTCTTTCTTTGCGGTGAATCCCATTGAGCCATTGACAAGTAAAACTAAATGTAAGCTTGGTATTTAATCGGGTATTTAATAGATGCTCATACTTGATTTTTTTCAAGTGAACTTTGTCTGGAAATATAATCATTGCTGTCAGAGCACTAATATTGGCTTGGAATTTTTTTTAAAGGGTGCCTGCCCTTGCCACATTTTGTATTTGTGATTTTCTAATGGAGAAAAAAATAGTTTTATGAGGAGTATTGTTTTGAATGATGCCACCATTTAATTATAAACTGAAATAGTTACTTTTAAAAGTATTTATATAGAAGATGGCTCTACAATCTTGCCAATAGAAAAGGCTGAGAAAAGGACTGACATAACTTTACTTTGGTAGGAGCCTGATTTTCCCATGGATTGTATTTCTTCCTTTCTCTTTTTCTTGCACTATAGTAGTGTAGTTTTCTTTTGGAAACCTGCTTGTTTTATTATTAAAGATAATGCGTGAAATTGGTGCATGCTACAAATTGTCTTTTTATGTCTTCCTTAGAAGTGATCCCCAAAATTTTCTGAATTTCTAGATGAGATGGCTACTGAGTTAGTTTTTGCTGGGCTATTCACAAGCTCTATTCTAAAAAATTGTGGAAAATACATGGCTTAAGCCATTGTTTCTCAACCTTGGCCAGTTGAAGATATCTGAACTTCAACTTCCAGAATTTCCAAGTCAGTGAAGCTGGCTGTGGAATTCTGGGAGTTGAAGTCCACGCTTCTTCAACTTGCCACGGGTGAGAAACATCTTAAGTTATTTACTCCGGCACTGTAAAATACTAAGACTTATTTTGTTGTTGGGGGAGGGGGGGGCAAAGAATTCAACAGGAAAAATGCCACTTTTAGCCATTTTCTATATATATATATATAAAGTATTTATTGTGAGGATATGAAAATAGCAATCTTGGTTAAAAGCAGATATGGGCTGAAGGTATGTTTCAATAAAGTGGTATATTTTGTCACATTCAATAAAAGATTTTGCCCCACTTTAAGACTATTCTTCCTACCCAGGCATTCACAGGTACCATAGTGTTATAAGTGCAAAAAATATTATATAAATATATTTTAATGTAACAATTATTTCTAGAAAGCATACATTAATTGAATAACTGTAAACATAATTGGCTTCAGCATATAAAATTTCAAAATAAGTATATATAAATAACTTAAGTTGTAAACATAGAAATAAACAGTTGTATGCAGTTATAAAAATAAATATCTGACGCTCTGTACAATAAAACATCCTTTGACAAGCACATCCGCGTTATGAGAGGAGTCCATCTTAGATGTGCCTTCTAAAATTGCTTGATTCATTATTAGGGGTGCCAGGTTCAAAAAGTAAAGAAAAAAATAAAACACAGCCGGCGATTCTTGGAATGCAATCCTAGAATCAGATCTGCTTCCCATCTTACATGATGTGATTTCTGATAGAGAAGATAATCTCCAACTCCCACTTCAAATAACACAGAGGACAACAAAGCTAGTATTTCTGATGCTACACATTATTTCTATTGTTGTATCAGCTGCTTGGCCTCGATCAACATTTGTCAGTCACCGTCTGTGCTTTATTTGGATCGTCTGGCGCTTATGCTTGTGCTACACGCCAAGTTGATGTCTACGTAACAAAGCCGTCAGTATGCACTGAAATATACTTTCATTTATGCTGCCCACAGTCTCCAACTAATTTATATCAGTGCATTAGTTTTACACCCTGTTGTTTAAAAAAAAAACAAACGCAAGCAGTTCCCTTTAAGATTCAAAGGCACTTTCCACATATATGTGGGGAATTCTCTTTACCTTGTCCAGCAAAAATAAGATATGGAAAACACCATGTTGTCTGTGGGCAGCCTCCAAAAATCTGTTGTTTCTTACTATTTTATGCTACCGTAATTACTAAACTTAATTGCCAGCCAATTAATATTGAAGAACAGTGACATGTTTTACAGCCTTTTTGTCTTTTCTCTCGCAAACTCTCAGTTCTTTTTTAAGGAACAAATATCATTTAGGAATTTTTACTTCATAAAATGCCTCAAGTAAGTTAGGGGCAGTTGTAGTAAAGGACTGGATGTAAAACCTTCAGCTCTCAAGGGGAGAATAATAAGTCACCCTCCAATTCAGTTTGACTCCTGGGGAACATGCAGGCATAATCATTCAATTTTCTTGACAAGAAATGTGCCACTGTCTTCCTCCAAGATTAGCAAGTTTCTAAATACTAAAAGCTGACTGGCAGAACATGGTAAATAGGTATCAGCAATTCTAGGTTACATAACTTGATTTGTATTCTTAGAAATAACCTGAATCAGATAGGGTGCACATTCACATGAATAAAACCTACTTTCAAACACTAATTGCTATAGGAACAGTAAGGAATGAGAATGTTAATTCTATGCTTGTTCACTTTAAACCTAATTATGTGAGTGGTTTGACATTTATTATACAATTATATTTATTACTAAAAAAACAGACATTGAAGGATGTAAGTATAAAAATGTAATTTTATAAAGCAGCTTATGGGGAATGCAAATTGATAACAAACAGTTGCGGCTGAGAGATTTGATTTTCAACCCAATAAAAGTCATGGGGTAAAACCATGGTGGATTTCCTCTGCTTTGAACTTATTTTCATTACCGTTGATCCTGTTGCTCTTCCAAGAAAAGAAGAGTAGCAAGGATATTTGCTGAATGAGATGCTGTGATAGGAATTCCTCTCCAGCATTCAGAATGTATGTAGGAAACTTGCAGTTGTGTTAATGCTGCTGTCTTATTGGTTTTCAATGTGTAGTCTTATGGTGGAGCGATTCTGTAGTGCGAAAAAGTGTATCCTATAGCAGAACATTGTCTCTCTTCCTGAGTTGCATTTCTGACCAAGAGAAAGCAAAAACCAGTTCTCATTTTCACAACTTAGTACTCCCTTGAGAGTGCTGCTTCTCCAGCCAGTAATACTGTGGAGTTGTTACGCATTTTTCATTGATCAGGCACTCTACAAAGAGTTTTAAAGTAGCTTAGTTTAGCTTCCAAAATGAAATGTTCCTTACAATAAAATAAAGTTCTTTTGTGTTTTACTGCACCAGAAGACTTTCTCATAATCATCTGGGTGAAGGAAAAAATTCAATGTAAAATCAATATTTCAAGGAAAACTTCTTGACCAGTGTATCTGTAAAAGTTGCCTTTTCTCTAAACCACCAAACAAAAATCTCATTCATGGTTTTTTTTCTGAATGAGAACAATATTTGCAATATGGAGTAACCATGTATTATTCTGTGTGGTCTGGCCAGGCTTTCTTCCTGCCACCAGTTTCAGAAAGCAAATTCTGCCGTTTCTGGTATTTACATTTTGTTACTGAAACAGAGTTTGTTGATGTATTATATATTATGCCCATCTAAGTGGTGAGAAAATGGGAAAGCTGAGCAATTACCAAAGGTGGCCGCTTTACAAAAGAGCTCAAAAATCTTGCAGGAATCGCTGGGGCACCAAGGTCAACCTGCAAGAATTCAAAAGGGGAAAAAAAATTAGCTAATATTTGGCAATGCTATTCAATACCGAGTGCTTCTGTACAACAGTGCTACTTTTTACAGGGTGGCCAAAAGACTGACGGGTGGAGTTGAAGTGCTCCTTTGGTTATGTGAGTGAGCTGCCAGGCGCTCAAACTTTGATGTGACCGCAGGAGGCACTGCGATACCTCTAACTTTGAGGAACTGGTGGTCAGTAACATTTTTTTTTGCGTCTTCATAATTTCAAACAGTTGCTGAATGAATGATCTTAAGCAACGACAACCTTGGCTATGCAAGAATAATTCTGCAAAGCGTCACCAGATTGCACCCATAACATCCATGCAGTACATATAAGAGAACACCTACAAGTAGGATGTGCTGCAGAAGTCTTTTCTACCCCTGCAAATGTGGATTTCAAAGAGCAAGAACAGGAAGCTTTTCTGCAGTTGATAAGGAACCAGTTGATTACAATCCTTTGCACATCTTAGCATCTTTTTAGGAATTAAGTTCTGAAGACTTTTAAAGCTGTCATGACAGACATTTGTCCATCTTAGTTATAATCTCTCAGGTGAGGTTTATTGTTGTAATGTTGTGTTTGCTATGCACACAGAATTAGTATTTGATAGCTAACCTATTCCCCAGCTTCCCCACAATATAAATAAATCTATTCCCCAACTTACAGTCATTCTTTTAACAACTATTGAAGATATGATGCCACTGAAAAAAGTAACTTGTGACCAGTCCTTGCATTTATGACCATTGCAATGTTTCTGTGGTCACATGATCAAAATTCGGGCACGTGGCATGTTACAACTCATTGTCATTTGCAACTTCAGGGGGCTTCTATGAAGCAAAATTTGGTGGAAGTTGGATACCTTTAAGTGACAGTGTGGTTTTCTTTATGACTTGTTTCATCAAATGATCACAGCAAAAAGGGTCATAAAATCAGGCATAACCACATCACTTAGCAATACAAAGGTCAGTCCCAATTGTTATAAATTGAGCGCTATAGTGAAAAAAAAAGCAGCTGCTTTTGAGGCCAGCTTCATCTTGCAGCAAACGTGGGGCATTTTTGCTACTAAAAAAGAAACAACCAGGGAACCAGGGACACTTATACAGAGCAGTGTAAAAACATATCACTAGATTTATGCTCATTCATATGTAATGTATTAATAATCTGGACATAAAATGGGCTAGATAGTCTGCCCCACAAATATGGCAATAAAATGGGTTGGATTTATGCCACTAAATGGGTGGATTTATGCCACTATGGATATCTGCAGTCAGAGCAAGGATACCAGTTATTTTTTTAAATAATGCCACGTTTTCCTTGGGCAGAACGTCCTATGGTCTTGTGAATAGAAGCTTCGGAAGCCTGACATCCTACCGATACCATACTGGCTAAAGTTCACTGCTTTGCTTGTTGCCAGTAACAGTTCTATAGCAAAGTATAAACAACCATGCAGTGATGAAAAACTCTGCAAATCAGCATCAGTTCTGCCTTTGCTATTAAGATCCGTGAAGCAAGAATCTTAAAATCTTGTCATACTTCCTTGCACCATTTATTGCTATTAGATGCATTTTTATCTGCTTTGTCACTATGTTGTAGAAAGCAATCTTCCATATATAATATATATTTACAATAGCTTTTTAGCCAGGCTCTACAGATACCTACCTGTACCATATATATGATTTTAGTGATGTCGTTTCCATTCACGATATCAGGTTGCAATATCCACGCACTGGGCAAAATCTCTCCTCGTACCATTTCTTTACATGGGCGAGGCATTGACTCTTCATAGATAGACTGAAGAGCTAAGATGTACATATTTTCCTAGGTGAAAGAAAGGAGAGTCAATGTTCAGAGAGTCAATGTTCCCAGTTCAGAATGGCTTAGGATGGTCCTTGGCTAATGACAAAAACCCACTAGCAGCGCTGGAGTTCTCCCATAAACTGGCTGTCAGCTTTGGAAACCATATTCCATATTCAGGCTGCCACATAGCTGAGAAATTGGGAGGGGGGTGATTTCAATTGAGTAGTTCTAAGTAGACAAAATTCTTAGTTCAAGGTTATTAAGTGTAGCACAGCAGAGAAAAAGGATCTTACACTGAGACAGTTCATGATTGGTCCATGTGATGTGACGATGGGAGAAAAGGGGATGGATTGTAGTTTGGGACATTGTGGGAAGTCCAGGAAACATTGATTTATTCTAATTGGTGCTATTCTAATAAAGGGACTTTTGAGATTATGCTTGTCTCGGAGTTACTGATTGGAAAGGAGATTTGCTGGAACGCCGACACTGGCTTTCCAGCCTTTATCAAATTATTTTCAATGTAAGAACAGGCTGTTAAGACTTTTCTGATATCATAGTAGTACAGGTAATCTTGAATTGGTGATACAGAATAAAGTTATGATTGGTGAATGAAAGTACTTACAACTGGTCCCCAATGTTATGTCCACTGTAGCACCCAATAACAACATAAAAATTTGGGCAACTTGCCAAACAGAACAACTTTACCTATTTCCCTGCCACCTCTCCCCCCCCCAAAAAAAAAAAAATTTATGCCCTTTTGTTCCTCTGCACTTCATAGCCCTTATCACCCTAGCTGACAGTTGTCGTCTTCTTGCTCTCGCTGCTGGCTGCACAAGGCTCCTTTCTCAAGGTTGCTCACAGCAGTTTCCTTGCAAGACTTGGGAAAGATAGCCTCAAGTGGCTAGCAGCGGCCTCATGTGAAGGAAGAGGGCAGGCAAACCTCAGCGGAGCAAGCAAGAAGTCAGTGAAGATCAGCTGGGGCAATGGGGCATAGGACAAGCCGGGGCCTGGGAGTGCAGGGTGGTGAGAGCAACTGGAACTGGGCTGGGCTGGCTGCTTGTCATCCTACAAGGCAGGATGCAGGGCAGGCAAAAAGGCAGAGACAGTCGGGATAGGATAAGGAAGGCAATCCCTTACTTTGGGAGGCTCAGGGCTGGGAGGTTCCCAGTTCAGAATGGCTTAGGATGGTCCTTGGCTAATGACTAATAACAACAGCGATGAGGAGTGCTGGGATTGCTGTTACTAAGCGATGCAGCAGGAGATACCATTCTTTATGTCCCCATTGATTAGCAATGGAAATTCTGGTTACTTGTAAGTTACAAGTCGAGAACTACCTGCATTAAGACTTGGTTATTTGGAGGGGCTGACTATCTCCCACAGTACATGCCTGGCTGTATCTGGTAGCTCTGGGTTTTTTCAATTAAATAATGCTATCTATCAGGATGCCAGGAAATAAGCCTTCTTTACTGAAGTACCTGGTTTCTGCAGTGAGGCTTCTAGGATCTGGGTGACTCCTGACTCTATCAGACCTTTAAAAAAGACATAGAGGAACTGGTTGTCTAGGCCTTTTCCAAGGGTGACTTCTGAGAAACATGCCTGGGTTTTTCACTGTTGCCTGGTTTTGTCATCATTTGGTTCCTTTGTATTTATTACAGATAACAGATCATCAGAGTTGGAAGGGACCTTGTAGGTCATCTAGTCCACCCCCCACCCCACCCAAGTGGGAGAACCTACACCATTTCTGACAAATGGCAGTCCAATCTCTTCTTGAAAGTCTCAAGTGATGGCGCTCCCACAACGTCCGAGGGCAAACTGTTCCATTGGTTGATTGTTCTCACTGTCAGAAAGTTTCTCCTTATTTCCAGGTTAAATCTCTCCTTGTTCAGTTTCCATCCATTATTCCTTGTCTGGCCTACAGGTGCTTTAGAAAATAGCTTGACCCCTTCCTCTCTGTGGCAGCCCCTCAAATATTGGAAGCCTGCTATCATGTCTCCTCTGGTCCTTCTCTTCACTAATCTAGCCATGCCCAGTTCCTGTAACCATTCTCCATGTTTTAGTCTCCAGTCCCCTAATCATCCTGGTTGCTCTTCTCTGCACTTTTTCGAGAGTCTCAACATCTTTTTTATAGTGTGGTGAACTAAACTGGATGCAGCACTCTAGGTGTGGTCTTACTAAGGCTTTATAGAGTGGTATTAGTACCTCCCTTGATCTCGATTGTATCCCTCCGTTAAAGCAATTTAGGATTGCATTAGCTTTTTTGGCTGCTTCTGCACACTGCTGGCTCATATTTATTATCTTTCTATTGGTTTTAATTGATAAACCATCCATGGTCTCTGGTAGAGTCAGCTTTTTGAGGTAGTCCCAGCAAAAAGCATCAGCCATGAGTACTAACAGAACATTTTAATAAACTTAACAATAATAGAATTTTGCAAGTCTGAAAGTACCTCTCTCCTCCCTTACTTTACTTGTGAGGCATTCCCCTCCCCCCATTTCATTTATCAGGACACTGAAAGAGACAGCTTTCTCCTCTCTCCTAAGATCACTCCCATGTACCATTGCATTGAGTCAGATGGTATATAAACATTACTATTACTATTATTACTATTACTATTATTATTATATAATTCATGGGAAAATGTTTGTGGGGCTATTTTTAAAAATTTCAGTAACTGAAACTAACCAAATAAATTAGTGTCCAACTATTTAAATGGAGAGATGGAGACTGAAAACCTTGTA